GAAGTGGTTCCATTTATGAAATTAAAAATATATATACAGCAAAAATACTAAAACACACATAATTCTTGTATCTTCTCCCTAGACTGGCATGGGACATCTCCGTGTTACAAAAGAAGGTCTTCGTCTAGAAGGGGAATCAGAATTCTTATTCCCTCTCTATGCCAAAGAAATTCATTCTCGAGTGGTAAGTGGAGAATCTTTCAAAAACGCTAGAATAAATGTAATGTACTAATGAAAAATCAAATATAGGCTACATTCAGGCAACTTTTGTGGAAAAAAAAAAGCTCACATACAGATATGTACACTTTTTTGCATCCTAGTAATAGTGTATTATGAAAATATGTTCAAATGCGTTTTTGGTGGAAGAACATGGCAAATAAATATTTTACAAATACGATCAAAATTTTTTTCTGAAACTATTTTTTATACTTGTTTTCCTGTAAATTCACTTATTTTGTTTATTCATCCAAAGAATCTTTACATAATAGTTTAGGTACTAAAATGAGTGGATTCTATTAGAAAAGTGATAGTTCCTCTAATAAGTTCAATTTTTGTAATTTCTAGGACATACACTTAATGTACTTTTTATTTACTTATATATGTAAAATTTAAACGACCAAATGGAAAGATTTAGGTTTGAATTTTATTTAAATAGATTTTTTATTGCTAGTACTGAAGTAGCAAAGAAAAATAACATGCTCGATCAAAGAAGGTATTTCACAAGCAGATTAATTTTAAGTTAGCAACAACAACTAGTATGGAAGATTTTTATTGTAGTAAGAAAGAGGTGATGAATTGTTTTTGAGACAGTCATGTGAATTTTGAAAATGTCAGGTGAATTTTTTTGTAGAGCAAAATCTATTTCTTGTCAAAGAAACAAATACTTCTAAGTATTCTTCTGAGTCTTCTGTCACTCAAACTCTCACAGAACAAATCCACATTTCATTAGCTCATGAAGTTAAAGTACTAGGCAGTGATGATAACAGCAAAATATGTCTCTTTACTTGAAACATAAACAGTTTTATCAATTCCATTAGGAAGTATAGTTAATATACATCTTCCTGAAAGTAGGGTAAAAGTGTTTGTATTTCTACAGCAAAATAAATGTAAATAAGAAGACGTAAATGTAAAATCAGAAGACATGTCAGGATGAGGTGGCTAAAATGGTAATTAACTAAAATTCAGGAATGTCATCATCTGTTATATCTATTCATTTTTCTTTCTGTCTCTTTCCACAGTAAATATTTCCAGGAAAAGTTCTTATTTGGAGTATGAAGTTGCATTACTAAGTCTATATTTCCTTTTTGTTCCTTATGCTCTTCTCTTTTCTCTATTGTAAGCAGTGGGAACAATATTTATGTGCTTAAAAGAATTTCCCTTGATGTCGTTTATCCAATACGCTTGCAACTTTTTAAAAATCAGCACAGCTAATATTTAAGAATTCCCTCTGCCCCAAAAAAATCTTTATACAATATTGAGCTACTTTTTGTGCTCTTTTAGGATTCCTTCTAGCTCTTAATACATTTAGTGCAATATAGGAAAAGACGTGGCAGCAGGTAGTGTAAGCTTAGCTCTCTTATGACCCATTGTGATCATTAATAGTGTGCATTAATTAGAGCCTTCAGGCTGCTGGATGTCTTGCCCACTATAAACTGATAACTCATCAGATCTTTTTGCTTGTTTGTTTGCTTTTTAATGTATTTTAACTGCATAGCAGCTTAAATGCCTGCAGTTTGATCTCTTGGGTGCCCTTTCTACATATTTATTCTCATAAATTGCTTATTTGTTATCATTTCTTCTCCTAAATTTCCCTGTTAGAGAATTGGGCAACTCATGGCTATTGTAGCAGCTTTCTTCCTTACCTTAATAGTTTTCTCTTTGCAGTCTCTTAACAGCTTTTCTCACCTAATGAGGTCTCCAAAGTGCTAAGAAAATATGCAACAGAAAATCGACTTGCTGTGCATCATCTCTGGAGCCTGTTACAAGTTTATGCCTTCATTATGAGTCCAACAGCGTAGTGGGCAATTCCTTTGCATCTTAGCTTATACATAATCATGTCAAGATAGAGAATGAGCATTTAGAATTACAACATTACCAGTTGTAATTAGTCAGCAACACATGTGGAAGCTTCAGATTCAGAATACAGCTTATTTGCACTTCAAATCATTATTACTACTTTCTTTTTGAAATCAACCAACAGCAAATAAGTGTAACAGAGATTCCTGTATTTGTGGGTCTTTTGGTGCATATATTTAAATGTAATATATTTGCCCAGTAGTCTTTTTTGACCTTTCTTCCTCACACCATACTAAGTTGTTACTGTTAGGATGATATAAGGCGGACTCCATTGCTTTTACCACTTTTATTGAATGGGTTCATAATAAGCTTCTTCACTTAAAATTTGTTCAAAGTTCTCATGTTATGTCACACTTAAAGACCGAATTACAGTAAGAACATCACTCAGGAGTGATTTTCAGAGTATAGCCATTAAAGGTGCTGCATAGCTGCATGTAGCTTCAGTCTGCATAGTCTGGCTTAAATCCAGAAGTATCCAAAGCCATCTATGCCATAGAGACTGGCTTGATAATTAACAATATTCCAGCAGTAAGAAACTACGTGGCCAGGGCTGAGTGAGTATCCCCTCTGAAGTCACAGCAGGCAGTTTGTTGATACCCACTTCAAATAATGTATCTCCTGCTACTTTAACGAAGTCAGATCTGCTTAGGCATTCTTATCTGTCTCTCTGGTTGTGGACCCATGAAATATATTTTCAGTATGAATGTACCTATGCTAAAAAAACAGTCGTTTCCCTTACCACTTTTGTTAAGTCAACAGTATAATTTGTTGCAATTTGCTGATCTGGATGAAGATGTTCAGCGTTTAGTCTCTCATGCTTAAAATCAGATGAGGACAAGGGCCAGGACTGTCTTCTCGTAAATCAGCTTCATTTCAAGACAATTCAACTAGCAAGTCTAAGAAAAGTATAAGATAAACTCGCTCGCTCCTGAATCCACTCACTCCCAAGTGATAGATAATATACTTTGAAAATAATGATAACTCTGCTTCCTTATCACTCTACACCTAGTGTGATGGAGCACAGTGGGCAGCTCGGTCTTTCAAGACAGCTACTCGTCTGCTCCTCAAAACCAGTATTTAACAGGGAAAGTCAGGAGAGCCTAAAGTTTAAGTATAGAGAGTTTCAGGGAAAGGTTTTGGAATAAGGCGTGGAAACTCACCCCTTATTTGGAATTTGATAAGCATAATACCAAGCCATGAATTATCCGATTTGGATGTTTTGGGTGAAGTAGTTCTATATTTGCTGTGGTGTAAAACTGACATGCAATTTGGATTTGCCTACCATAGCTAGTCTGGAGTGCTGTGAGGTGTGATAGTGATGAATGATGACTCCAATTGCACTTGCTTAGCATACCCCGGCTTCTGTAAGCAGCAAAAGATGGTGATTAGGCATACTCTGATTGCTTTGCAAGTGTCCTGGCTGTAATGCAGCCAGCTGCAGGTGCTTATTGCCACGTGTGTTTTGTCCTGTCTCATATTTGTTATCAGAACATCTCATATATTTGTTATCATACTGATGCAATATTTGAAGTTCATGCTAGTAGGCTGGAAGGAAGGCTTGAATAGAGGTTCAGAAGAGAAATCTTAAAAGGGTTGACAGAGTTACAGAAATGACACATGGCTAGTGTCCTTTCAAGGACAGTGTAGTTTGTTATATCCTCTCTTCATGACTCCTTTCTTTGGGCGTCATGAAGACACCCAAAGGAATGTATCCCCTTCCCTGAACCTAATTTTCTTTTCTCTTGAATATTCTAATTCACTGAAATTCTCATGAGCCATGGCAGGGAAATGAATAAGATCAGAGAAGGTCTGCAGTGTTCACGTTCAGCCTTTAATGGATTTGGTCAGGCTAGGTTTCCTGCAATATCAGGGTTTGAGAGGCCATAGAAAGTTGCTGCCTAATTTGTTGGCTTTCCTGCAATAAATCAATAGTTAGCCTGTGGTAGCATGGACATGTGCCACCAGGGACTTAGCAGTTGTCTCTGTCAAAGATATCCCTCATTCAGCCAGGCACAGAATGGCCAAAACATTATCCTCCTGTTAGTCATGCTCTCTTCCTTACAAATATGCAACTTTGGAGTTTGTTTCTGTTTTTAACTTGTACTTATACATTTCCTATATATGTCCTATTGTAGCCAGCATGTGATCTTACATCGTTTCTTAGATAACATGGCACCTACAAAGGCTTGCACCTGAGGCTGCAATCACAGCATGGGGATGCAGATGAGCAGGCAATGCTGCTCAGGCTGCTGACTTAGCTCCAGAAGGGTGGGAGGCAGGAAGACAATTTAATTCAGGCTGACTCATTCTCATCTGAACTGTCATCTACTAAAGCCACATTTGAGCTAGACAAGTCTGCCACTCTCCTTGTCAGCAACTGAATTTCCTTTCGAGCAGAGTGAGTGCCAAATGTCTAAATCAAGTCAAAACTTGGCTGTATGGGCCACTGAGGCGATGAAGTTTAAATTCATTCTTCTGACTAAGCTACTGTAATACTATGAATGCACAAAATGTGAAAGGTACTCACACTTAAATGGCTGTTAAATGGATTCTTCTAAGAATCTCAATTTTGTAGAGAAACATTAAATATAGGACTTGAATCATTCTTTTCAAAAGATGAAATATTAACAACTGTGTTCTTTGGACAAATAATATAGATACTGGTCACTCAAGAAGTATACTTTTAATTTTTCTTGAATTTTAAAGCTATTGTAATTAAGATAATCAGAATGACTTGTTCAAATTATTTGATGGTATCTATGGAGGGTTTTGTAACTGTAAAGTTGTTTGTGGTGATTGAGTTAATATAAACACTAGACTAAACTATGAAATTGATTTACAATTCTACTTATTTTTCTGACTCTGCGTTTTTTCTCCATACTTTAGGACTCATCGCTGCTTCTCCAGTCTACTCACAATGTGACTGTGAACGCTCGCAATTCAAATGGAGAGGTCACAGGCAGATTAAATGTGGGTGAGTCTAAATGATCGTTCCTTGCTCATCACTTTGGAAACATTTTAATGAATACAAGGAGTTTTAATGATATAAACGGCCAGACACATGCTCATTTTTCACTGTAATGGCCATATTTGAATAGTCCATCTGCCACTCAGTAAGTACTAGCAGTGTATTTTCTGTTTCATATTTAAGTATGAATTCTGTAAATATTAGAAGCACCTCTTTATTGCAGAGTTATGCAGGAAAGGTCACTGCACAAATTATTATTTCTTGTGTAAGTAGCTATTGATGCAATAGCTACTTTGCAAGTCATTTTCTTTGCAAGTCATTTGCTAAGAAAGAACAACAGTAAAACATGTCCAGTGAGATCTCTCCTTCTCTTCACTTTCTAATATTCCAGAGACTGATACATTTAAGCAGATGTCCTAAGAAGAGGCTCAGTGAGTTCTAGATCAGTTCCCAGTTTGCTAATATTCATATTTTCCTACATTCAGCAGCAGTAAGATACAGTGGTTTACTGAGTGAAATAGTCAGATGTAGATATAGAATAGATAGATCCTGGCATCAAAAAATAAGCAGAGATTCCTTCCTGTTCCTTAAAAGGCACAAGTCATATTTATATATTTCCTAGTCATCATGGATATTCATCTCAGCAGTGTTCACACATGCGCTTGAGCAGCATAACTGATTAGTCTGGTCCTCTCCTATGGTCAGTACGGAGAGACAGTTACTTTTATAGCCCAATTCATTCATTCAAGATGCCTACTTTGCAATGGAATGAATTATGTCCTGGAAGGGCCTGTTAAGATCTCTTCATTCTAAGGAAGGGTAGCTCGTTACTAACGCACATGTAGACCTCTAACCTGAATGTGGAGATGACTGGATAATGGGTAGATGAACAGCAAGTGTGTGTCTTACTCTGAGCTTGTTACTTGCAAGTAGCCACAATCTAGACTTGTAGCTGATAGTCGCTATCTTGGCTAATTTTCTTACTGGTCTGAGAGCCTAATCATTTTTCCAACCACCTTGCCATCCACCCATCCACTCCAAACATCTTCAGTTTGGAGATTAGTTATAAGACACTATGGAAGACTGTTGAGATGAAACCTCTGCTTCTAGATCCTTTTTCATGTCATGTTTAAAGATGGGGGTGGCATTTGCCTTTTTTTTTTTAACCCTTATGAACCTTTCTCACTCAACACAATCTTTTAAAGATGATAAAGCACAGCCTTGCAATGGTAACAGCCAGTTTTCTCAGTAATGATGGATGCGTCCTATCCAGTCCCAGATTAAGGCACTTTAAGGGACTATGACTAGGCAGCAAAAGCCCTCAGGAGCAACAGGCTGGAAGGTCTGTGTGACAGTAAGACATAGAAGTGTAACAAACCTCATCCTTTGCTGGAGTGTGCCTGAATGCAACCCATGATTTGTGGGGAAGCTGTGCTTTTTGTGTCAACCCAGCAAGGCTACTCTTGCACTCAGATACATTCCCATCTCCCTCATTTCAGCCTGGCGAGCAGTAGCTGGTGTGCCAGCCATTCAAAATATGAGACAACTAGAAAATCAAAATTCACTCCTCCCATACCACAATAGAGGCAGCCAAAAATGGGCCAAGTCTTACCATCATCAAGCTCAATTCAGAAGTAGCTACTAAAGGATGGAAAACCACAGTGATAGGATTAAATAAGGGATCAAATCAAGATATCAGGTTAAACTAGAATCTTCATGCAGCAAAGCATAAATTCATACTTGCTTAACTGTCAGTGTAACTTGATAGGCTTCACTTAGTAGATTGGGACCCAGGCTGATCAGCAACACTTACATGTTAATTAGCCTGTGTAGTTTCTGTCAGCTCCTGTTTGAAGAATGATCATATCAATTCATTTAACATTTGAAAGCTTGACTGTTTAAAACAAACTTCAAAAAGAAAATATAATTTATAAGTTTAAAAAAGAGCCTAGTATTTCCGTTTAAAGTATATGATTATACCATTAATCACATTTGTCTTTTAAATCTTTTCAAATCTCTTTTTTTATCATTCAAGTTAATTATAAAAATGTGAATCATTCCTGTGAAAGATCTGCTCCTAAATATTTATCAAATCATGGTAATAGAGTTCATGTCTCATTTTGATAATAACTAAGCATGTTGAAAGTACAGTATTTCTAGTCTCATTTTATTGGTATGGTTATTAGACTACTTTGTAATAATTAACTATATTGTGATGATGTGACCAGAAATGTACACAACATTTGATCAGTGTTTCTGTGACCTGGAGCATATGCTGAGTCTTCTTTCTACTCTGTATTGTTGGTAGAGTCCCATCCTGGGACCAGACATGCACTTGTGCTGTGGTTATATATCCATCCTGCCTGATGACAAAGAGGACTCAGGTTATCCCTTGGGAAGGCAGATCACAGAGTAGATCCTTGGCTGCTGATGAATATATAAAGGATAGTGATGAATGTATAAACGATAGCGTAAAGGAAAGTGAAATAAAACGGTATTTTCCTGCTCATACTAACCAGTGGGGACGAATTTCACCCAAGTAAAATGAAGCCTATAAAAATTATTTAAATTATTTCTTCCCGATTGCTAGGTAAATCAATTCATCTTTCAGCCTGTCAAAGATAACTATAAACCTCAGACCCATATTGTCTTTCCTGTTTTCCACTTCCCACTCACCACACAGACTTCTCAGAGCATTGGCTGAGGAAGAGAGGTGGAAGGTGTTTTCTTAAATAAATAGAGAGTTTAAAATATCTGTTTTTTAGGAAACAGGCCCCTGGATTGAAGAAAACCCATAAACTGAAAACCTGATAGACTGAAAAGGATCAATGCCTGTGCACAGAGCAGGCACTGGAGGTGCGGAGAGGAGAGTTCTACATGGAAACTGTCTTGGTAGTAATGACTCACTTGTAGCAAATATCATCTAAATTTAGGACTCCCACCTCTTACTGGTAGTTTAATTCTGTTTCTCTGCTCTTCACTATGTGGTTCTTCCAGACCCGTTCCCAATAATGTGCAGTTCAGTATTATTGTATCTTATGATTTCAAGTCTCTCTAATCTTTTCCTAAAAGATAGCTCATTACGTAGCATAGTTCAGACAATACATTGGCTGCACAGTGAGGCTTTATCTAGCTTAGGCAATATAAAACTTTAAAAGAAGTGGTCTGTGCATTACAGTAATTCAAATTCAGCACAGAATTAGGGAAGATCTGATAGCACTTTGGCTTCCCCTTTTCAGAGCTACTCAGATAAATACCAAGGTAAGGATGAAATAATAATTTGGGTCGGAAAAAATCACTAAAATGAAATATTACTGATATTAAATAATCTTAATATTTTAGACTGATAGAAAAGCATTGAAAATGTAGTAAAAAATAATACTGTAAAGAACTGTTATGCCTAAAGATATGGTTTTTCAGCTATGACTGCGTAGCAATAGTCTCTTAGATGATTATCTGTAAATAGCTTGATATTTTTAGCCATTATCCTTAGTCAGTCATAAATTGCATGCACATAAGATGATGTTCCTTTTTAAGTATGAAAAATGGGTGTGTGGCTTTGTAAATGAGTGTTACTTCATATGCACAAGTCTTTGCTAAAGAGTTAATGTCTTACTCACTGCCCAGACTTCTGGAACTATCTCTTAATGCTCTCTCCATGTTATAAACATAGTGTAATTGTGAAATATTTATGTGGATAAATTTGAGGTCATTCCAAAGAGGATTATATAATGTAATATCACACACAAGATCGTTACAAAGACACCTTTTAACTCACAGAAGATGGTGATTCAAAATGATTTGTTTTAATTTAAATATGTAGTCCTTAATAGATGTAATTCACAGGAGAGGTGTGAGTCTTTGAGTCTTTAATTGAGGCGTTTCTATGGAATTTCTCACATGAAGGTAACAGGCACACAAATGAGCCAAGTTTTTCTCAAGAATCACAGACCTACTAAAATTACACAAAATGCAAGCAAATTACACCATGAGCTGTTGTGTTTCTCGGTTTATAAGGTTATGTGGTCAAAGTAACTTTTCACAAGTTCTATAGATCTTGCCATGCTCTGGAAAGCATTATAATCATTGGATACAATTGTGTTTAATATATCAGGAAAAAAAATACTCACAAAATAAGGAACAATAACACTGAACTGAACATTGTTGGGAATGGGGCCAGGCGAACCACATGCTGAAGAGCAGAGAAACAGAACTAAACTGCCAATAAGAGGGCAGAGTACTAAATTTAGATGATATTTGCTGTAAATAAGTCATTACTACCAAGACAGTTTCCATCTAGCATTTTATTTAGCTGTTAAAATCACTTTAAACTCATTTATGACAAAAGGAACTTATATTATACCAAATAAATAATTAATAAAGCTCTTCATTTAGCTAAGAGAACAAGAGAAGAAGATAGTTCTGGGAACATTTCTTAGAGTAATGGGGTTTGAGAGAATGATGTTGGCCAAGAGGGAGCACGACAGTCACAGATATGGGAAGTGAGAGGACTGAGATTCAGAGGGAATTAAGAAAGCAGCAGCAAGGGAGTAACAAGGATGTCTAAGAACAGCTGGTAACTATTTTCATTATTGTAGCTTCTATCTTTAAAATCATGAATAAGATTCAAAAGATGCCATTACCACAGCTCACTCATCAGCCTTAAAAACTGAAATATCTGGAACTTTTCTTTGATAATCCAAGAATGCAATTGAATAAAGTTATTAACTGTCATCTCCAAGACTCCTGTTCTTTTCACTTCAAAGCCTTATTCAGCCTTAAAATCAAAAAGAAACTTAACACCTTTGAATTATAATTTGAATTATAATATAACAAGTTAATGTCAAAACTTATTAGGTTCCTACAATAATGAATGATAATGAATTCATAAAATATATAGGAAATGTATAGACCAGATAGTCAATTATCAATTATTTAAGAGTAACATTTGCATGTAATAGTAAATTATGTTTCACCTAATAAACATATATAATTCAAATTATATA